TAAATATGAAAAATTCTATATCTTTATAATTTTATTTATACAATAAGACGAGTCAAATCGGAACAAACCGCGACTCGTGACCCGCATGGACTTAACCCGGATGGGTCAACGCGTGGGCCTGAGTTGGTTCAAAATTTGTGGACCGACCCAAAACCGGCTCGGAACCCATAGCGGGCGGGCTTTTTTTCACACGAATCGTTACCAGGCTCATATGTTGACGGGTTGACCCAGACCACCCGAATTGACACCTATAGACTGTGTATCATTTGCAGATAGCCAAATCTATTTGGCGTATAGAGTATTTTTGTAAAAAAATATCTTGAAAAATTCTACTTGTACTGTACAAGTTACAACCCACACTGATTAGTGTGGGCTGTTACTTGTACAGTACATTAAGGACTATACAAGGAGCAGCCCTCAAATATCTTTTGACCAAGGTGATGTTTGTAGAAGATGCATTTCACATGAGATGTCCAATCACCTTGAAAACACATTGCAGCAGGAGGTGGCACCTTGCCTCAAAAGTGCCACCTCATATGAGATGTTATCACTGCGAACGAAGTGTCCAAATCACCTCACCCAATTGTCCAATCACTTCAAATAGAGCGTGGGAGGCAAAGCCAAGTGGAGTGTGGACCTTGCATGGTCTCTTGCATTATCTTTACATAGCTGATTTATCATGTGGCCTACCCTATAGGACGAGGAATAAGAAATGCAGGGAGAAGGCTTACGAACTGCCTCCAAAATAGGAGATGGCTACGGATAGATTACTTTGTTTGATGATCTGAGATATGAGAACTTACAAATGACCTCTAAGTAAAAAATCATCATCTCAATTTTATCCCACAAATTATATATTAATCAAAATCAATTTAAATATGGGTCCAATTATTATTAATGTCGGTCCAGGTTTTAAAACACTTGATTAGTATATAACGACTTTAACTTCATTTGTCAGTCGAATAAGAATAAAAAGAATCGGTTATAAATGCATTGTTTTTGTAATCACAACTCTTCTTGCGTATCGTGTCTATCGTGCCTGCTAGCTTAAGTATTAACTTGTCTTGCAATTTTTTGAAATACACTGTAAATAAAATATTAAATACTTAAGATACAAAATGAAATTACTTATTATAATAAGTATTATTTTTTATTTTTTGAAAATTCAAAATAGAAAAGCATATAAATCACAAGTCTATAATAATAACAATAAATGGAGACATATTGGTCGTAAAATATTAATAGAAAACATTTGATGACATTTATGTTAAGAATCTGTATTATTATAGTAATTATTTACTAGATTAAAATACCAAATTATCATTTTAGAATAATACTATTATTATGTAATGTGGTTAAATTAATTAAAAAAAGGGTCCAATTTTAAAAAATAAATCAATTTCAGCCTGCGAAATCACAAAATAATACTTTTGACCAAATACTAATGAGTTTAATTTCATAGATGGTCACTCAAGTTTATGTGAGATTTCAAGTTGGCTCTTAAAGTATAATGTTGTGTATTTGTATAGTCTAATTTGATGTGGTGCCCGTTGAATGTAGAGGTGGAATAACGGGCTTTAATCCTAATTTAGTGCAATTTTTGTGTTTTGGTTCGAAAAAATTTTCTTTATATTTTTAGGGCTTTTTCATTAGAATATTTCGTTTATTTTGTCTTTCACAAATAAAGTGACTAAATATAAGAATAATTTAAGCCTTGTATGGGAGGGATTAAAATCGGATTAAAATTGANTAGGCCTTGTATGTGAGGGATTAAAATCGGATTAAAATTGAAAATATAGCCGTTATTGTTGACTTTTATTAGACGAGTGGGACCCAATAACAGTCATATTTTCAATTTTAATTGGCTTTTAATCCCTCCCGAACAGGGCCTTAACTTCAATAACAAAATTGGTAAGAAAAGTAGTTAAGGACCAATTTGGAATTTCACTCAAATTATAGTGAGCATTTGTGGAATTGACTCAAATACTAAAATCTTAAAACTTTTTAATCTTAACTAATTATTTAGGACACCCAATATCATTAAATATTCATATATATTTTTATTGTAGATAATGTTATTTCTGGAGTATCTCCTTTCGAACAATCTGACAGAATTGCCTTAATAAATCTGCACAGCGTAACGGTATGATCAACAGAATCAGTAAATTAATTCGAGCCCACCGACTTCACGATGTTTCCTTAAAACGAATTTGCTGCCTTCATAATAATACTATTATTATGTAATGTGCTTAAATTAATTTTAAAAAGGGTCCAATTTTAAAAAATAAATCAATTTCAGCCTGCGAAATCACAAAATAATACTTTTGACCAAATACTAATGAGTTTAATTTCATAGATGGTCACTCAAGTCTATGTGAGATTTCAAGTTGGCTCTTAAAGTATAATGTTATGTATTTGTATAGTCTAATTTGATGTGGTGCCCGTTGAATGTAGAGGTGGAATATTGGGCTTTAATCCTAATATAGTGCAATTTTTGTCTTTTGGTTTGAAAATTTTTCTTTACATTTTTAGGGCTTTTTCATTAGAATATTTCGTTTGTAGACACACTTATTTTTGTCTTTCACAAATAAAGTGACTAAATATAAGAATAATTTAACTTCAATAACAAAATTGGTAAGAAAAGTAGTTAAGGACCAATTTGGAATTTCACTCAAATTATAGTGAGCATTTGTGGAATTGACTCAAATACTAAAATCTTAAAAGTTTTTAATCTTAACTAATTATTTAGGACACCCAATATCATTAAATATTCATATATATTTTTATTGTAGATAATTCCTATGAGTGTACTACAAGCTGCAAAGTTGGTACATTGTCCATAATAATCTAGAATAATGCTTGTGTGACAGAAAATGTACGACTGAGAGAATGACATAATAAGTGTTGATATGACGTGATTTGATGAAAAAAGTTGACTGTATTTAAACAGTCCAATGCTATGTTATCATGTGGTATTATGTTAAAAATTATGTCAACCATAATGTTTGTGTAGCGTGATTGAATAATCTATTTCTTGTAATTTAAGATAAACCAATTTGTGAAGTCATTTCTGTTCCCATTTGCAAACTCCTTTATGGGGGCGGTGCCCA